CCTCTTGAACAGAGGGATATGTGTGACAATAAGTGCTAAAACGTGAATATAATAAGATGAAAGCAGCTCTATACACTTGTGTGGAAATATCCTCTTATCCACAAGACAATCATAAGAAATATAAAGCGGTGTAAGTGAAAAAAAACCTTACACCTATAAGTGAAGCGCTAAAGCAAATACAAAACTTACCAAACGTTACTTGGTTAAAGGTGTTTGGTGTGGAGTACATGTAAATGGGCGAAAAAGCAAAGGGAAACAATATAGTGCAGATGGTACTTAAAAGTGAAATCCATGTAGTATAACAGACAGAACACTCACATTTAAAGGAGCCTGTGTATAGGTACTGGCTCCGTAATCAAGAACAAGACAAACTCTTGTAGGAAATAAGAAACCCATCTTGTTATGGATAATAAAAATAAAAATTAGAGAACCTGCATAAAACCAAGACACAGTCTAGAAATTATAGATCTATTATGTCAAAACCAAAAGATAACATCCTTCTATAATATAAATTAAAAACCAAATGAATGGTAGTATAAATTCAGAACCTTGGCAAAGGCATCATTTCCAGAGATCATACTGGAACAAGCAGATACTGTTGGATGAGAACAGTCATTCCCTACTATTAAACATGGGGAGAATTAAACTGAGAATCCTACTATTTTCTCGGTGTTTTTATTAAAGACGATTCACACTGCTTCATCTTGCCTAGTGAACTACTTACCTGTAGATACAGGAAACAAAACAATATCTGCCTGTAAGAAAAATATTGTAAATAGTACAAATTATGCCAAACAGTAGAATCGAAATGATTAGAGACTGTTGTGCATCATAAGTAGGAGATATGTAATAGGTAGGATACTGATGAAAAGTTGGTAACCAGAGACACAGGAACCATTGTGGCAACACACATATAATAAGCAGGATATGGTTGTATACATAAAAGTGGCATAACCAGGCATGGCCGGTGCAATAATTTTTGGCATTAATTTGACAGGGTGAGTGTGGAGGGGGTGAGATTACCAGGATTAAGAGTGGTTAATGTGAGTGTGGATGCATAAGAGGCTCAAAGTGTGGGGGGATGCTGACTGTGTGAGAGTATGGTGAAACTACATTGTGGGGCTGACAGTGTGTTTGTGGCATTACAGTGTGTGTGAGGTAGTCACAGTGTGTATGAGGGAAGGTGACAGGTTTGTGTGAGGGGGTGATATTGTGAGAGAAGAGGGTTGATACTGTGTGAGAAGGCGGGGTGATAGTGTGTGGGACAGGGGGGTGATACTGTGAGGGAAGGGGGTGATACTGTGAGGGAAGGAGGTGATACTGAGTAAGACAGTGGGGTGATACTGTGAGGGAAACGGGTAATTCTGTGCGGGACAGGGGGTGATACTGAGAGGGGGTTGATGATGTGTGGTAAGGGGTCATAATGTGTGGGAGGGGTTGATAGTGTGTGGGTCGGTGGGATGATACTGTGTGTGGGAGAATATTGTGAGGGGGTTATACTGTAGAGGGAGGGGTGATGGTGTGAGTGGGAAATATTGTGATGGAGGGAGTGATAATGTGAGGGATACTGGGAGGGAAAGGAATAATACTGTGAGGGGGGATACTGGGAAGGAGAGGGTAATAATGTGAGAGAAGCTATTGGGTTAATGCTGTGGGGGGATACTGGCAGGGAGAGGGTTAATGTTCTGGGATGGCGAGGGTTAATGCTAGGGTGGCGAAGGGAGATGGTTAAAGGACCATTCTAGGCACCCAGACCACTTCAGCTTAATGAAGTGGTCTGGGTGCCAGGTCCAGCTAGGGTTAACCCTTTTTTTTTTTAATAAACATAGCAGTTTCAGAGAAACTGCTATGTTTATAAATGGGTTAATCCAGCCCTCAAATCCTCTAGTGGCTGTCTCATTGACAGTCGCTAGAGGCGCTTGTGTTCGATTCTCACTGTGAAAATCACAGTGAGAACACGCAAGCGTCCATAGGAAAGCATTGTAAATGCTTTCCTATGAGACCGGCTGAATGCGCGCGCAGCTCCTGCCGCGCGTGCGCATTCAGCCGAAAGGGAGGAGAGGAGGCGGAGAGGAGGAGGAGAGCTCCCCGCCCGGCACTGGAGAAAGGTAAGTTTTAACCCCCTTCCTCTCCCCAGAGCTGGGCGGGAGGGGGACCCTGAGGGTGGGGACACCCTCAGGGCATTATAGTAGGCACTATAGTGGTCCTTTAATGATGTGGGAGGGAGAGGGTAATACTGTGGGAGGGATACTGGGATGGAGAGGGTTAATGCTGTGGGAGGGATACTGGGGGGGGTAATAATATGGGAGGGATACTGGGAGGGATACTGGGAGAGAGAGGGTTAATGTTGTGGGAGGGATACTGGGAGGGGGAGGGTTAATGATGTGGGAGTGATACTGGGAGGGAGAGGGTTAATGCGGTGGGAGGGATACTGGGAGGGGGAGGTTTAATTAATGCTGTGGGAAGGAGATGGTTAATGCTGTGGGAGGGATACTGGGAGGGAGATGTTTAATGCTGTGGGAAGGAGATGGTTAATGCTGTGGGAGGGATACTGGGAGGGGGAGGGTTAATGCTGTGGGAGGGATACTGGGAGGGAGAGGTTTAATGCTGTGGGAAGGAGATGGTTAATGCTGTGGGAGGGATACTGGGAGGGATAGGTTTAATGCTGTGGGAAGGAGATGGTTATTGCTGTGGGAGGGATACTGGGAGGGAGAGGGTTACTACTGTGGGAAGGAGAGGGTTAATGCTGTGGGAGGGATACTGGGAGGTAGAGGGTTAATGCTGTGGGAGGGAGATGGTTAATGCTGTGGGAGGGATACTGGGAGGGAGAGGGTTAATGCTGTGGGAAGGAGATGGTTAATGCTGTGGGAGGGATACTGGGAGGGAGAGGGTTAATCCCTGGTGGTCCAGTGCATCCCTGGTGGTCCGGTGGGCTTCCTGGTGGCCATGGCCGCTGGTCTGCAAATCCGCCGGGTGCCGAGCTGCAGACCATGTATCTCGCGCGATGCAGTCAGAGCATTGCCGTGGTAACCCGCGGCAACGCTCTGATTGGTCAGAATTTGCTAGACACATGCAGTGAATATAGCTCTCCAATACCCCAAACATGAGCCTAGACTTCATGAAGAGTAAAATGGGGGCCTTATATGCAGGCCCCCATGCAAGGGGTACTACCCTCTGGACCTGAGACCAGACTACAGTAATAACATATACATGATTACAGTAGCTCAGAGGTCCAGGACACTCCCATACAAAATAGGTCAATCCCTCCCCTATGCCTGGGGATAATTGATTCAAGCACTGTATTAAACTCAATTATCTCCAGGCACAAAAAAACACAAATCTTTACAAAACCCCAAAATACCTTAAAACACACAAGATCCCCACAATGTTACATACTGATAGCCCTGATCCGGGTGACCAACATATCAAAAAATCACCCAAATCAGTTCAGGGGTTCAGGAATTTCATGGAAGTCATAATTTGACAGACCACGCGCATGGTCCCATGCCCAAAACAGTTTCAGAGAATCAGGGCTTGCGGTCGGTCTAGTTCGCTAGTTTAAAAACTAACAAACTACCGAACAGAGTCAATAGTCTTACCCTGGAGCTTGATCCCCCTGTTCGTGGGAGCGTTGTAATTCCTTCCCAATCTAATGATCGCTGCATCAATCTTAGGTGCTGTATTCCATGCAGAAGCTTTCTTTTGAGGTTTCTTCTATTCAACTTCAAACAAATCTTTAAGAGCCTCATGGACCGCAAAAGATGGTCTCTTCTTTCTTAACTCCAGAAATATATTGGACGAAGAAGGTTTGTCCTGATTCAAATCATCCAGTTTTAAGGTATATCTGACAACATTAAGGTATATCTGACAGCGCGCGCGCGCATTCAAACCACCCATAGGAAAGCATCTCTCAATGAATTTCACAGAATCGCGGAAGCGCCTCTAGCGGCTGTCAGTGAGACAGCCACTAGAGGCTGGATTAACCCTCAGTGAAACATAGCAGTTTCTCTGAAACTGCTATCTTTACAGCTGCAGGGTTAAAACTAGAGGGACCTGGCACCCAGACCACTTCATTGAGCTGAAGTGGTCTGGGTGCCTATAGTGGTCATTTAAAGGATCACTATAGGGTCAGGAACACAAACATGTATTCCTGACCCTATAGTGTTAACACCACCATCTAGCCCCCTTGGGCCCATCATGCCTTCATAAATATAGTAAAAATCTTACTGTTTTCCAGCCTGAAGCTGTTAATCTGCATGATGTTAGACTCAGTAAAACAAGCAGTCTGCTGACATGTGATAGCCTGATCCAATCACAGTGCTTCCCCATAGGATTGGCTGAGACTGACAAGGAGGCAGATCAGGGGCAGAGGCAGCATGATTCAAACACAGCCCTGGCCAATCAGCATCTCCTCATAGAGATGAATTGAATCAATGAATCTCTATGAGGAAAGTTCGGTGTCTGCATGCAAGGGGAGGAGATACTGAATCACAGGATGCTATGCACAGTGCTGCCCTGTGCTCTGCTGACAGCAGATCTGAGTGGATGGAGGCATATTATGCCTCCATCAACTCCGAAGTCCCTCTGGTTCACTCTGAGTGACTGCAACTGGAGGTGTTCCTAGCTTTCAATGTAAACACTGTATTTTCTCATCTAATTTTATTTTTCACACCTTTTTTTTCCCCCCACCAAATACATATTTCTTAAGTTTAGGGATAGGTAAACACAATATTAAAATCCTGGAACATAACAGCTTCTTTTTAAAATAAACATTTTTTTTTTTTTTTAAATCTGCAAACATAGAAACGTATATGAAATTTGAATTAGGCTGGAATGCATCGTCTATCAGCCAAAAGTTTCTAAATATTTCTAAATCTATTTCTGGACCTTTTTGTGAAGATTATATGCCTGTGTCCTGTCCATGTTTTATGATTACAAGCACTCCAGAGAGATTTTACAGGCTGTCTATTAATAACTTTGGAGGCACTGGGAGTTTTGTTCAGAAATAAAACATCTATTGCTTGCGAGTTGCAGAATAAATTGTTTGACAGTAGATGAGTAGGTCTACATTAATTCTATAAATTGCATTAAATTATTTTGTTTATGTTTCATTTATACACAATTTCTTTAAATTTATTTTTACACTTTGGATCGCCCACAATTCTAAAATAGACTACATTACAACACGGTAAGTATTTTGTACTCTGCATGTACCAGAAATAGAAGAAGGAAAATGATATGTCAGAGTTTACTTATTCATGTGTGTGTTGAAAGTATCTAGGATGTGACTGCATATTCATTTACGTATTATAATAATTGCCGTATATTTTGCTTAAATTATATTTTAGGAGATGTTGCATTTTTAAGGGGTGTTCGCACGTTACAATTGCAAGTAGCTAATTTGCATATTTTTATTTGGAATTTTCTGTTGTTAAATATTTTCCACTAAATCTCTCTATAACACTACCAATGACAAAAAGGAAAACTTAAAAAGTTATAAATTAGATTTCCAAGATTTTTTAATCTTCAAGAGAATAGACAATCGTCTGACTTACGCTGGAATATATTCACTTGGGAATTGTAAAGAAAGAGCGTTAAAGAAAAATGTCAACCATTCCGTCATTTTTTTTCAGAGTGCCTGTTTTGTCCTAGAACTTACAAAGACTTTGAAAAGCCCTGTGTGTCTGTTTTCATTGAAAGATAGCCTTTTGACATTGTTCAGGTCTAACTTTACTTTAATTTATAAGAGACGTTATATTCCTCAGCTTCTATTTGGAAATGAACATAAAAAGAACTGTTTTCCTGATAGGATTTAGAATACACAAAATAGAGCAGAAGTAACTGTTTTTTAAGAGTACTGTGTTTTAAGAGTACTTCTCTTTATTAAACCTACTAATTGATCAAGGCGAACACAGATTGACGACATAAGTTGAATAATGCAAGGACTGTTAATAATGCAATATTTTCTAAATTATTTGATCATATGTCAACTCCTGTAAAATTGTGAAGATCACTAAAATACAGTATCTCTGTAATTTAAATTGTACTTTTCATGTATATATTTAGATAAATTTAAATTATTTGTAATTGAATTACATTTTTATTTTCAGTTGGCATTTAAAAAAAAAAAATTAAATAGGGGAGAGACATTTTATCTGTAGTTATAAATATTAGCTAACTGCTTCAATTTATTCAAGCTAAACAGCACAACAATAATGAATAGGTTGGAAAATGCATTGTCCAACGGTATTAAATCCCTGAAATATTCAATTTCTGTAAATATTGTCACATTTTGAGATTCACTGGGGGATTGGGTTCACATAGAAAACTGATATATTTCTGCATCCATATGTTTCACACCAGTTACATAACTACATGCTAGCACAGCAGCACATATCGTGCAAGCACCAAATTAGGGTCTGTGATCTATATATAAAAAATATATTGATTGTGTGCTGCCTAGTCTTTGCAGAGTATTTTCCCTCCTCCAAAAAAGAAAACAGTATATGCATTACATACGTTGATTTATCCACAGCCCATAGAGATATGTAGGTAATGTATGTGATTTGCGTGTGTATGTTATATGTAAAATTGATGTGTGGTATTTGTAATTCACATGTATATAGATATGTGTGAGATCTGTGTATTTGACTGGAATTATGCATGTTTAGAGTGGGTGATGATTATGCAACATCATTGTTAATTTGTGTTATGTGTGCTGTGCATATGTGATAAATGGTGTCTGTAGTTCGGTATGCATGTATAACTTTTTCTTTGTCTATGATGGGTGTGTAATGCATGTGTGGAATGCTGTGCTATGCACATGATATAATGAGTGTGATGTGTGTTATGTGTGTGTGCATTCAGTGACGTGCATAGGAACTGATTTTGTTGTGCATGTGAATTGTGTGATGTACGTAATACCTGTGTAGAGTGTGATATGTGCTTTGTATGTGATGTGTGTTGGCCTCTCTCTGTAATGTATGTTATGTATAAGCAGTGTGCAAGGTTTCTCCATGAAGTAAATAATGCATGTATTAAAGTTCATTGTGTGCTTTGCACGTTTTATGCATGCGTAGATTGTAACGAGTTTGTGTGTGGTGTTTGATATTCTTTGCTCCAAAACGAAAGCATAAGCTCTCACCCTCGTCGCCAAATTCATTTTCCCATAATCCGTCACTCTACGCACATTGATTAACAGGTTATTTTCTTTTTCGTCACGCCCTCTTCTCTCATTTTTTTTGGTCCTATGTCACGGTATTTAATGCATTAAATAGTTTACATGCCCTTTGATTGCAGTACCTCGCTGACGGATCGCACCTCGAAGACATTCCATTTCGGTGGGTCATCTTGGGTGCTAAACGGCAACTGGGAATTTTTGAGTTTGACAAACATGGCGCTGAGCTTATGGGAACACCATATCCCCCCTCGCACAAGCCATCAGACATATGTACTCTTACAGGGTCCAGATGATTGTCCTTCTCATGTTTACAGAATACAATTCTGTAGCGTCTAATGAAACAAAATTAAAGTTCATGGTGAAAGAGATAAGTGGCAGACTGGGGAGTTTTAGATGAAACAATATGAGGATAATAAGAAAATAAATTGACAATGTCAATTTAAAAGAGAACACGGACATTAAAAATACATATATTTGCGGGCAGAGCCTGACTGCCAAGCAGACCAGACGTTCTCAGCAGGAGCTCCTGTGTCTGGCACTGAAACCAGGGATTATACCCGGGCCACTCAAATCTTTTGGACCGCAGTACTTTATCCTCTTGCCCTGGAGGCACCAGTGTATCTGGGGATACCTCTTGTGAGTTTCCCCTTCACTGGCCTGCCCGAATCAAAGCTTTGCGGCCTACTCAAGTGTGGGCTGAGGAGAGGTGGCCGCCCTACCGGCTCTCTGGCTGGAAGTGTGATCCCCAAAACTAGCTGCCTCATCCCTTGGACCGGTGGGGGTTATCCCAGAACCTGCTGACTTGCACAACTTACCACAGCTGCCTTCTAGCAACCGACTCTGCACAAGTGCACTGCGACAGCAACATACTGCACAAAGATGGCAGATGTGCCATCACTTCGTGTATGTGAGCGGTCAAAACCCATGAAGGCCCAACATGATACAGTTGAGCACACGATATCACACTTAGATGAGATTTTTGACCGTTTCTGGGCATGACTAGCAGCACGTTCTGAGATGGCACAGACTTCTAACCGGGAGGAAAAGGGGTGAGGTGACTGGGCCCCCTACGGGCAAAACCTTCTCACAAGCTTTTATGTCACCCAAATATGGCCTGCCTGGGCTGAGGGCCAGAGGGGAGCTACTCCCATTGCATCGGCCATGGAGGAGGAGGATCCACCTCCGCTTGAGGCGACGTACCACCGGGAACTTCTGCCATTTCCCGATAGGGGTGAACTTGGACTCTAGGATGAGTACCCGAGTACATGGCTACAGGATGCGGGCCTTCATCACGGCCTGGGGCTGGAGGAATGCCCCACTTCACTCCCGTCTTGCCCCACTTCCCGTTCTTCTCAGTGACTTTCCGAATCTGGGCATTGGCTGACATTTTGCATTGGTTTACTTTTATGGCTTACCTTAGTATATAATATATGCAGTACGGCAATATGCTTGTGTGTCAAATTCAGTGGTTATTTCCTTGTAAATTTCTAGCCTGTTTGGCAGTATCATTAATGACATGTTATTATCAGGTCTAGCACACCTATCAGGACACAAGTGTATGATAACTGTTTCTGCTTAGATTAGCTGGTCTGGCTTGTGTGTGCTTGTACCACTTGGGCAGATAGTGGCCCAATACTTACCTTGTCTAGGCTATATTAAGATGCTAAGATGCACGAATAAAATAAGGAATTTAAAAAATATATTAAAAAAAATACATATTATTATTATTATTATTATGTTATTTATATAGCGCCATCAAATTCCACAGTGCTTTACAGTGGGTGGACGAACAAACATGTAGTTGTAACCAGACAAGTTGGATACACAGGAATAGAGGGGTTGAGGGCCCTGCTCAATGAGCTTACATGCTAGAGGGAGTGGGGTAAAGTGACATAAAAGGTAAGTATAGTATTAGACTAATGACAGTTGCAGAAGAGGAATCAGTCAGGAGCTATTAACAGTTTAATTGATACGCTTTTATGAAGAAGTGGGTTTTTAATGATTTTTTGAAGGAGTGGAGACTGGGTGAGCATCTAACGGAGGAGGGAAGCGAGTTCCACAGGAACAGTGCAGCCCTCGAGAAATATTAAAGGCGAGCATCAGAGGTGGGAGTACGGACAGAAGATAGACGTAAGTCTTCAGCAGATTGTAAGGGCCTAGACGGGACATACTTGTCATATATATATTTATTTTTAACATTAACATTAGCATGTTCCTTAGTAGATTTAGTTTACTAAGTTAAAAAAAGCTATTAAACTTACCTATAATCCAGTGTCAGGGCAGGCCCTTCTCTGTCTTCCAATACAAAATCTTTTTTTGCCTCCGAAATTTTGTTTTTTTCCCCTCATGATGGGAAGTGAGAAGGCAGAGAAGAATTTTCATTAAAAAAAACCAAAACAAAAAATTGTCTATTTATTTAGAAAGGGAGGCAGAGGGAGTGAGAGAAGAATAAGCTTTCCTTTACAGACGACATGATTGTCATGTCTGCTGCCAACACGCAGTGCGCGCTGACAACAGACGTATAAAATAATATGCACGGAATTGACATTCCACAGCCTGGACACAACAGGAATATATCTCTAGGTGTGCAGCATTTCAAGTAGAAAGGCTGAACATCCAGACTCCTGCCATTAAAAAGTTGACTTTGAATTCTAAAATTTGAAATTGACTTTGAATTCTCCCTTTAGTAAATAACCCTGTAAGTGTTCACTAAATGAAACTTCAAGGTAAATCCAAAGTGAATTGTGCATTTAAGGTCAAAGTAGTCTCTAAGTCAGCTATGAACTATTAAAATTAACTTTGAATTCACTCTTAATTCTCACTTAAATAAATAACCCTGACTGTGATATTGAGAATTGCTGGAAAATTCAAGCTGAATTTAAAGTGAATTTCAAATTTAACGCCAAAGTAGCCAAATTGGAAGCATAGAGGACTTTTTTTTTTTCAAGTCGGCTACTTTGGCCTTCAATTTTAAATTCACTTTGAATTCACTTTGCTAGTTCTCATTTAGTAAATATTCCTGTACGTGTTTCATTATTTTATAGGGCCGATGCTCCAGCCTGTGTTTGTGGATGAGACGCGGTCCTCCCATGAAATAAATTGGAGAGAGCATTCATATATTTTTTATTCCAAGCATTTCCATTATTGTTGTCTGCTAATATTTTAGGAATAATATTAGTTTTCCAGATTTATTACTTAATAAATTCACTCAAGGATGTGACTTAAATATTGACTGTGAGGCGGCTTCCCGAAGATAAAATCAATAATCTACAATGAATTTATGCAGTTTGCTTTAAAGAGTTTGAAAACATTTTCTTTTAAATCTTGCCTGTCTGCTAAATCATAATAAAGTTGATGTAAATCTGCAGAAAAAAGTTGATCTTCGTTATATCGTGCACCAAGATTTACAATAGAAATTAATTATCATACTAAATCTCCCCAGGTTCAGACAATAGTAAAACTAAACATTAATATAAAATAAAAATAAAACAGAAATGTCCCACCAGATCCAACAGGAAACATTTCCACTAGAGACTGGAATGTTTAAAACTTATATCTATTGTAGCATTTTTATTTATATAGTTTCTTATTATTCCTGTCTACCCTACTGAAGGAAGCAAATATTCTAACTGTAACAAGCCCGTTAAAGCAGTGTTTCCCAACCCAGTCCTCAAGGCACACCTACCAGTCCAGGATTTAGGGATTACCCAGTTGTGTCTAAGGTGTTTTTTTTCTTCTTTGTAAAAAAACCTTAGACACAACTGGGTAATCCCTAAATCCTGGACTGGTAGGTGTGCCTTGAGGACTGGGTTGGGAAACACTGCGTTAAAGGACCACTATAAACACCCAGACCACTTCAGCTCAATGAAGTGGTCTGGGTGCCGGTCCCTTTAGTGTTAACCCTGCAGCTGAAAACATAGAAGTTTTAGAGAAACGCGCGCGTGCGCATTCGAAGCTGACGTCAGAGGGGGAGGAGAGGTTACCAACCTCTTATTTCTATGAGGGAGCCCGGCGCTGGAGAAAGGTAAGTGGTAAGTGGAGGGTGGGACCTAATGACCCTATAGTGTCAGGAAAACGAGTTTGTTTTCCTGGCACTATAGTGCTCCTTTAAGTAGTCACTGGAAAACAAAAAGTTACGTTTCGGTGCCCTAATTTGTTCCAGATTTTGTAATTTTTTTATTTTAGCAACCAGAGGCATTATTTAATGTTTCAATTTTTCTTAATGAATGTATTTTTGTTATTGCTATTATTTGATACCCCTTCCCCAGGCCCGTGCTTCTATTTTAAATGATCTTGGGTCGGAATTAGAAATTATAAGACCCAAAATCAGGAGTGCATGGCTGGGCAGCTTTCAGCAGTGTTCCCGTCTCCTTAATTAACCTGAGCAGATCTTTGGTAGGATAACGAGTGATCACTCAAAAAGGCAGCAAAGGCAGGAGAAAAGGGGACGGTAAAGGAGGTAAATAATTTTTTACAAATATCAGTATGGAGTATTATAAAAAGGGTGTAGAAGATGCTCATCCTCTAGGGCCACCTTATTACACTGACTGGTTCAATTAAAGGATCTGACAGATACTTAGTCATGGAAACCTAATTATAATGTTGACTTGTTAAAAGCCCCAGGAGATGCCCAGACCCTGTGCCTTATTATGGCTCAAAATAAAATGAATCCATAAGAATAACCATTATAATGACCAGAACCCAGTCTGCTCCGCCCATGCGGTGAAACCCCTGCCTTTGTTTGAGAGGACCTCAAGCCACACCTAAATATTGCTACTTATCCCTCAGACACTAATAAAATTCAATAGAGGCAAGGAAATGCATTTTGTAAAAATACATTTTTCTACTTGTCATTAGAGATGTCGCGAACTGCTCGCCAAACTGTTCGCGAACTGTCCACCGGCGAACAATAGCGTGTTCGCGTTGGGCGAACATATGTGATTTCCGGTCCGCCCCCTATTTGTCATCATTGAGTACATTTTGACCCGGAACCTCACAGTCAGCAGACACATTCCAGCCAATCAGCAGCAGATCCTCCCTCCCAGGAAGTGTCTGCTGACTGTGAGGTTCCGGGTCAAAGTGTACTCAATGATGACGAATAGGGGGCGGACCGGAAATCGCATATGTTTGCCCAACGTGAACACGCTATTGTTCGCCGGCGGACAGTTCGCGAACAGTTCGGCGATCAGTTCGCGACATCTCTACTTGTCATATGAAGTCTTGATTGAAGATCTTCTTTATGTGGTTTTCTTTCTTTAACCAAAAGAGGACAAATAATAACAAAACTATTATAACTCATCAAAACATCAAGAAAATAAATAGACTCAATTTGCAAAAAAAACAAAACAAAACAAAACAGGGAAGAAAACACATTAAAAAAAAATCCATCTTCACCCATATAGAGCTCCGCACAGACTGAGCATTTAAGGTGGGAATATACTATATATAGCTGTAAGCATAGATACATATATTAAATCAACAGGAACATCTTGAATAATACGGGGATAATGACCCAGGAGCCTAGGCATTTGGGTGTTCAAGGGCAGATTTAATAATAGATCCTTTAAGGATTAACCCCCGTAGGCCTCAGGAGAGTGGGCCACAGGGGAAGTTAGCCTATCACTCTGCTCTACTCTATGGCACTGAATAATTCATTTTATAGGCGTTACTTGCCTTGTAAGAGCTTATGGCTCATCACACAGGTCTTATCATTTACTCCAGTAAACTTTTTTTGGGGCGCCAATGAAACCACAACATATAAAAGATGCCAAAGGACGTCACAATTTTCAGTGCTTTCCTATGGAGTTCTCGTGAGCCAAAAAATCCCTTTACTAACTGGCATTGACAGAAACTTATCCCACATAGTGAATAGCATTTTTGACATAGCTTTGCTACTGCGCCAGTTTAAACAGCGTCAGGTTCTAGTGCATCAACGTGTAAAAATTTAACTGGGTGTTACTTACAGAATGATGAAAAACACGGAGGATAAATAAATTCTAACTCGTACAGCACTGCAGAATAGAACAATTTGTTCATATATCATTTCACATATTACTTTTTATTACTGTCACATTGCTTAGAGTGCATTTTAGTAAAGCTATGAACAGATTAAAGTCTTTCTACTTGATATATATTGCCATTTATCAGAATAAATTCCTAATCACCATTATCTCATACTGTCATTTTTCTTCCTCTCGTTGGACGACATCAGTTTGATCTTGGCATCAATCACACGGATTTTCCCATATGTTTTTGATGTTTACCCATAGCTCTCACGAAAGCCTATAGCTTCATCAGTCATGGTAGCTTCACTTGACTGCTTTCAAATATCCTGATATTCCCCAAAGGTTGTGCTAGATTAACTTGTTTGCCTTGAGAATTTCTCTCTCTTTGTGTGCAGAACAAATCAGTCAAGAAAATGAAAGCAATCAATATGTATGCATATCCAAATAATACTTCAAAGTAGTCGTATCATTTGGAGATGGAGCAAGTAGCACTGGATCAAACATTTCAAAGTCACCATAACATTTAGACTTTTAAGTCATATCAACAGAATGAGTTCTATTTTTTTAAATAAATGACAGTCAATGTTGAAATAGGAGATCTTAAAACTTTAAATAATGTTGAGTATAAAGAAATATATAAGTTTCACCGCGATAGATTCTTATGATACTTAGATGCCATCGGCCACTCATTAATTACATTGTGACAATTGCTTTAGATAAAGTCCTGTGCCATAGACCTTTGTACGTCAAATGGAGACCTTTTGGAAATATGTCTTAGGCATTATGTTGGTTATATTGCTTATAGATCTGAAGAAGCAAAATGTTAATATGTTTATAAAGCATCAAGAAGGACCATAGTAGATCAATAAAGCTTGGATATACCAGTCACCGACATTGTATTTCAAATTGAATGTTTGTTTAAAACCAATAAAGAATTAGTGAGAAATATCTCGTCACTTTTTAAATAATAACATAATTACTGCTCATTGTTTATCTCATCATGTTGTGTTTTTTTTTTAGCTTAAAAACAGGTTATATCTTTTCAAAGGGTTTATCTTCAAAGATAGGTAGTGCCTTTGGGAAACAAAGCAGTATTTTTACATTTTTGCCATTTGCAAAATAAGAGGGGTATGCCATGCCGAGAATAAGCCAGCGTACCCCTTGAGAACTGTGGATTTTCTCTCCTTAGTTACCCATCTGAATCTATACTGAAAAAAAATATGTTCTGTATCATGTTGCCTAGACTCTTCTTGGATAAAGTATCAACATTGAAAACTTAAAAGAAATAAAATTAACTTGTGCGTTTGTTTGGCCATGATGATTCATAGCAAATCACAACAAAAACGCTTTGTCGGAGGCTTATACTAAAGTGATATAGATCAATACAAATTGGATTTTTTTCTACATTTAAACTAGCCCTGCACATAAATCTATAGTGTACGTATGACTAAATATAATGTTGATGAAAACACTCCAATGATATTTATACTTTTTCACAAAGTTGTCTGTGTATCTGTTTAGGCCAGGTAAAGAGAAAAATCAAACGCTTACTGGCTCAGCATACAGATTTTTAAAACATTTTATCTTCAAAAGAGTGATGTGCTCCTTGTAATATGTTACCTGTAGCCACCAAAGGACATGTATCTTATAGGATAGTGATACTCACAAAATCTGGACAAATATACTAATATACACTAACGTGTAGAGATTATGACATGCAAAAGAAAAAGAAACTAATGGGAAAAAATACCATAAATACTAAACTATTTTGAAATGTATTTTTATTAAATTTGCAGTGTCTTGCCTTTTATTGCTGCTGATAACTTTACAGAAGTGCTTAACTTCTAGGTATAATGAATACACCTTTGAACATCACCTTCCAGGAGATTAGTGAAGAGAGAAAACTGTATGTAGCTGATTCTCTAAACAATTTAAACAAACTTAAACTGTGTACCAATGACACTCAAGATGTATTAGGTAAGTGCACTACATAATGGGGACAAAGTCAGGAAAATTGCACGTTGCTAGCATAACAGAACTTACTAATAAACTACTTTGCTCCACAGTCCTACCTGGTGGTATTGCTAAGGGTGGGGAGCCTCACATGTGCTATTGCCTAGCCCCATGTACCTTCTTAGACATTCTCCAACTGGCCTGGGTTGCTCTTGCCTGGAGAGACTCCACAGTGAAGCGTAGCTGGTGGTTTAAATTCTCATCTGACTAGTTTAAGCAGTAAGAAGGTGATTAACTGCCACAGTCTTTGTGAGCACAAATTACTGCTCCATGTAGAATGAGTCTCTATTATTAAAGTTGTATTCTAGGTGTGATAGGAAGTGGTTTTCATTTAACCAATAGCACAAGGTAGGTTGAGGAAATTGGGGTGGAAGATAATGACATAGTGAATGGGAGAATGTATGGGTCTAAGAAGGTGGGTAAGATGGCATGGAATGTGGAGGTAAGATACGTTGTGTTGGGAAGGGATATGAGATGGCATGACATAGGCGATGGATAATATAGCATGCAGTGAATGTAAATTAATACATTTGTGCATGGTGGAAAAATATGGTTTGGCCAAACGATTTTTTTCAGAAAATTAAATTTGATCTGCGACACTTGTTCATATGATCACAGAAACCTGTATAAAAGTTTAGAAAACCAAAAATAAAATAAAAGGAAAACAATATGTAATAATAAACAAGTAAAAATAATGCATTTTAGAAAAATTGTCAGTTTCAAAGGATCCTCAAATAATACCAGGTAATACATTGGAAAGTTTAATAAATAAGGGCCTTTTCTTAGGAGTTTTGAGACTGAACATAGGACTCATACTATTTAGAAGAAACAGGGAAGCCCTATGCTCCTTAGATTGGGTGGTCTCAATCCAGTCCAATTTGTGAGCTGGTTTGGATCGGCATAATGATAAGGTAGATTTAGCTGGGGACATCTAGACATGCAGGATAATCTTTCTGACAGTAGCTAGAACCATATATTATATTTACTTATTAAATATATATATATTATTTTATTGCACCTTTTTTTCACTCTGTTTGTCACTTGATCTGTGAATAAAATCAACATTTAGTGGCTGTCCCCAACCTATCTTTTTTGGGGGTGAGGTGGGTGTCGTGGGCAGAACTCTGAATCCCGAAGCAAAGGAACCCACTTGTCCATTGTGCTAGTCAGTTTCTCGGTTATACCTCTATATTGCATTTTGCAGATATATAAAAATTCAGCCAAACCACCGATTGGACTAAATTCAGACTAACTGCAATAAAGCCGAAACCGAACGCATACGTTGCAAACTTATCCAATATGTTATGTCATCCCATATTCCTTATTGAAGGCACACATGCCATGTTACTACTTATACCATCTCATATTCCCATACTCAATTCCATGTAAGTGTGTGTGAATAAATCGTGTATTTGTGTATTTGTGTGTATGGTTGTGTGCTTAAGGATAAAGGGATGTTTTTGTGTGGAGTGTGTAAGTTTGTGTTTTGGAATGCTGGAGAGTATTTCCATGTGTGTGAATGCAGGGGTTCATATCTACAGCCAGTGCGTGTGTGTGTGTGTACACACATCATATCTGTGTGGTGTGAATTGAGAAAACTTGACAGTACAAGCTGAGCCTTTTGTCTATCTTCTGTCAGACATGGCTTTGTCACGGCTTTGACATCGTTCACTTGCAATGGAATTGCAAGGAAACTTCAACTCAGTCAACATTACTATTTCATAAAGATTTTATCCTTAAGTGACAGAACTGTTTTATATATATTTCTTTGTTACTAAGAAAAAAGAAAAATGCACACGTAGTCATATCTTCACAATTAATCTAAAGATTAATTCTCACACATAGTCAGGGCTGGAAACTTTTGTCCTGGAGGCAAATACAAATTAATTAAGTTTTCACAGGTCTCAGTGTTGATGGCCCTATTCATGTAAATTTAGCAAAATTTTTTGACAGATAAAGACTTCTGGAGTTGCAAGCTGTTACATCATAAATATCCGTGCAACTTCCACCATTATGACCGGCACACTATGATGGGACATGCACAGATCTATCCATGCCGAAGAAATGCACCCACTGTATCTATCCATGCCTAAGAAATGCACCCACTGTTTCCCACGGACTCCATTGCCCCCAATAACAAGTGGCATGTCTTATGTATGTCACGATCAGCGTTTCATCTCAATCTGTGGTCACAAACAACTTTAGGTATATAATACACACTTATCGGAGTCTAGCAGACTCAGATACTTTAGTCCACCCGGAAATATTCCAATAGTCCAATCCAGGCCCATAAAGCACTGAGTGCACAGGCCACTAGCCAATGTACAAATTCACACAGTGCCGGGCTAGGAAACACTCTACTCAATTCCTACCTGTGTTCTCACTCCTGCACTACTGTACAGACAGACACATACACATCTACCACTCTTAATTTTGAGAACAATGGTTTGACAAAAACCTCCATGCCAGTACTCCCATTCGAGTTGCCATGGGGCAATTGCACACATGGATGCACATATTATTATTTTTTACAGAGTTTTACAGATTATGTATGTACACATGACACACATACAAACACATTCCCATTCATTATTCACATACACACATACATACTCATTCACAGACACTACATAAACACTTACAAGGATAGAGTTTAAGTGACACTGTGTAGAAGGTGTACATTGTGGTGCGTGCGTAGACCAGTCTGGGCGGGCAGCACAAAATGTATATATGTAACTGTATGCATTTGGTCACACAGTCTATCTTAGAACTAAGTTAATCGTTTCCTATAAGAGAAAACTGTTTATCATGGCAGCTAGTCTATTCTGAAAGCAAAGGCAATCAATAAAATTGAGCAAGGGATTTAGTTAAGTAAAAGGTAATTCCTTAAAAATTAGCACTAGAACTTTTTTACTAACCTCATGAATACTGTGTTCCTTTAAAAGTAATGGTGCCATTCGTCCGTTTTTAGTAGAATCGTCTGAAGAAGGAAATTTCTCCGTTGTGCTTAGTCAGGATTCCGGAAAGAGTAGACGAATACATCCTCTTCTAACAGTGCTTATCATGACATTGGTACTCACAATCATACTATCATCATGTGTACTGTATTTGTTAGGTAAGTTTAATGCTCAGTATTTTTTTTCCTTAAAATGGATTTGTCACTGGTTAGGGTCCAGAGGCCCTTTTATTCACGTTGCCATTAGTAATTTATGGACATTACATTAAAGGTCTGCATGTTCCAAAAAAAGTGTTAATAGTTATACTAGAAAAGGTGACTAATAATGGGGGGGTGCAAAAATACACAACAATTTATAAAATGTATACTTATAAGTGTGGAGCCGCAAGGAAATGAAAAGGTTCGTTACTGTCAAGGCCATGACAATATCTTTAAGGTACTTGTATGGGAGTGGTGCAGCTGTTTAGCAAGCACAATCATGACACCACTCCGACTATTGTAGCTGCTAACCTCACACAGACTGAGCGACCTGAAAGAGCTTTTTATTTTGTCATACCTTTGCCTGTTATGTTACAGCCGGATGGATCAAAGGACAAGAAACTATGGCATTACAAAAGGATCCGAGCAGTCTGTGACATCTATTATTTACTTGTTTCTTTCCCTTTCTTGACTAGTAAATGTGTCATAATTACCTCCTTATTGAATATACCAAATAACACCTGTGTTTGCCATTTTATGCATTAAACTGTGACATCAATTAATCTATAGGGCCCTTGAGTAGAACCCTTCTATTGTGTGATACAGCCCTATTCGATCAAGTTTAGTATAAACAATATAACAGGGGTAGGCAACATTCGGCACTACTGATGGTATGGACTACATCTCCCATAATGCACTTACAGCCATAACGCTGGCAAAGCATTAGGGGAGATGTAGTCCACAACATCGGCAGTGCAGAAGTGCCTATTCCTGGATTATCAATATAATTCAAATGATCAAATTTCAGGATAAAAAGTTCTATAAGTATGGGTTTCATACTTACACAGGGGTGTAACTTGGAATCACAGGGCCCTGGTGCAAAAATCAAAGAGGGTCCAGACCCCCCTTATGCTCTCTACACATACACTGACATACTCTCACTGACACACACTCTCACTGACACACACACACACACACACACACACACACACACTGACACACACTCTCACTGATATACACACACACTGACACACACTGACATACACACTCAGTGAAACACACTCTCACTGACTCACACACACACACACACACACACTGACTCACACACAGACACACACACATTGACACACACACTCACTGACACACACACACACACACACACACTCACTGATACACTCTCACTGACACACCCACACACACACTGACAAACACACTCACTGACACACACACACACACACACTCTCACTGACACACACACACATACACACACTCACTGAAACACACTTTCACTGACACACACACTCACTGAAACACTAGCATTTAGGATACAAGATTGTTTAGGCAGGGGCCCCTTCACCATATATCATACATGTTTTGTTTGGATTAAATGTTTGTCTTGATTACTATTGTAAAGTGTTGAGGAATATCTTGGCACTATATAAATAATTGTAATTGCAAATATTGAACACAGCTATTGACGTGCAACAAGTCTGGATATATATCAGTCCAAACCTTTACAAACTAAAATTGTATGGGGACACTTTACTGAATAACCATCTACCATAGAGAGCATGTGGCTTATTAGCTATACACATATATGTTTTATGAACCTACACTGAAATACAAATCTGCCCTTTTAAATTGCAACATCCCATAACATATTTTGTCAGAAACCAGAAAAAATACAACCTTTTTATTTAACACAAGGAGCATACAAGAATATTCAAATAATTTCACACTAAACATTTTAACACTTTGGGTTGGTTATAGTGTGCAGATAACTTTTTTGAGGGGTTCATTTCGCATTGTTCATGAATTTGGGCTGATGTATAGTATAGCCATTGTTTCTGCACCACGAGTAATAAGAGATTGAACGCAGGGATAATGTGTGGATTTTATGTGAATATTGCAAAAATGTCAATTCTGAGCTGAAGCACTGAGTTACTTGTACACAAGGCAGTGTGTAGGCATGCATCTTCCAAATATAGCCGCTGAATGACAGAGATGCTGTGGATTTGCTGAACTTCTTTTCTGTACTGGGCATAAAGCCAGCTTTGTGTAATACTGCAGATATGGCTTATTACAAGCCGCTATAAAAATAAATCGCAGTAGTAACTGAACCCCCTCCACTATGCGTACACAATAACACACAGCTAAATGGCTGTTAAACTGATGGCAGGAAGTCATTCGCTGGCCGAGCTAAATTAAACTAGGCTTGGTTTAAATAATAGCTTGAATTACCAGCATGTCTTATCAGCGGAGCACAGCAGGTAACTATTACCAGAAAAATCCTACATTTCACTTTGCGAAGATAAATAGTCATTAAATATCGTAAATATACCCAAAAGTAATAGCGAACCACTGAGCACACAGCCTTTTCACTTCGTTACAGTGTTGAATCTTTTTTGAATGTTTTTATTAATCTGTTTGCAGATTTTCAGAATGAGTGTTTAATATTGATTTAAAATTACAGATGAGGCGAGATAATTGTTTGTGAGAAGTAGATGTTTAACAGAATCTGCGTGAATGGTTTGGATAGCAGGTATAGACTTCCATCTGGAAATAAATGTGTTTAAAAAGAATTATTAAAGAAGACTTACACTTGGAAGGATATTATTATTATTATTATTTATAAAGCACCAACAAGTTCCGTAGTGCTGTACAATGGGTGGACTAACGGCAATGTATATGTAACCAGACAAGTTGGACACACAGGAACAGAGGGATTGAGGGCCATTCTCAATGAGCTTACATGCTGGAGGGAGTGGGGTAATGTGATATAAAAGGTAAGGGTAGGGTAGAAACGTAGGTTGCTAGGATAGTGTTCATTGAGGGCTTGGTGTTTTGTTTTGATGACAGTTTCAGGAGCGGAATCAGGGTATGGGGAGGGAAAGCTGTTCACAGTTTAATTGATATGCTTTCATAAAAAAGTAAGTTTTTAAAGATTTTTTGAAGAAGTGGAGATTGGGTGAAAGTCTAACAGAGAGGGGAAGGGCATTCCATAGGAACGGTGCAGCCTTAGATAAGTCTTTAATGTGAGCATCAGAGGTAGGAGTACGAACAGGAGGTTAGACGTAGGTCTTCGGCAGAGCGTAGGGACCTAGATGGGACATATTTGTGTATTAGTGAGGATAATTAGGTCGGAGCAGCATTGTGTAGAGATTTGTTCAGATATGAACTAACAATTTTAGGAGTTACACTAAAGGCATCAAAACAAGTTTAGCTTAAAGGGACACTATAGTCACCAGAACAAGCTTAACAGAACAAGGCCTTTTAATGTAAACACTGTCTTTTCAGAGAAAAGGCAGTGTTTACATTACTGTCTAGGGACACCTCTGTTGGCAGCATTAGAGGTGCTTCCTAGGTCAGTCCTGAACATTCTGCAGCACTGAAGTTCAGACTCCAGTAGGGTGTAAAAGGCTATTAAAAGAGCAGAGATAAGAAATAATAAATTTAAAAAATCATGCAATAAAGGAAGTTTAAACATTAGATTTCTCTTTACAGGAAGTGTTTAGGAAGGCTATGTAAGTCACATGCAAGGAGGTGTGACTAGGGCTGAATAAACAAATTGATTTAACTCCTAAATTGCAAATAATTGAGCAGTAAGACTGCAGGGGCATGATCTATACACCAAAACAATTTCACTAAGCTAAAATTATTGTGGTGCCTTTAATAAGGTTGAACAAAAACTCACAAAGCTTACTCTTGTTGAACATATTCAACACATGTGCTAGAGAAGACCAGAAAACCAGCTCCTCTGTGATTTATATGGCGCCCTGGCACAATTGTTCAATTATTTTGCATTCTTCTCCTCATGCATGAGTTCGAGTGAGAAGGAAAGTAACAGTAAATGTCCCCCTTTGTTTATATAGAATCTTGAGGACACAATTCATTATTATGCTGGTTATTTATTATATTTTATTAATTGCTTTTAAAGTAAATGTTAAGTCCCTAATTTTACTAGTAATTTAAAGGAATTAGGTCAATTGTCCAGATGAGTTGTGTAACTGTCAGTGATTACACTTATATTAATCGAAACCTGCTCACATATTGTTCTGACACATAATTCAAGCAAGGACTTTGCCCACAGATTTATTCTCATACACATTAATTCAGCTAATCGAGCTAACACTCTTACTTAGAGACGTAGATAGTATATAAGATTAACTCGATTAGCCAGTGAGGGCACCCTCTCTTGCTCTGCTCAATCCACCCAATACAAATCCCATCTTGCTACCTTTCAAAGTTAGGGTTGCTTCAGTTACCACCCAGCAATCCCTTCACTAAGCTCTGTTTAGAGAAAAAAGGCAAAGCTTAATGTTTTGTGAGTCTAACTGGGAAGCATGCAAACACAAAGAGAGAATTAGACAAAAAAAAAAAAACATGCTTACATGCATGTACAGTATGAAATTAAAACCCGATTTCAGAACAGTAAAAAATCTTTAAAAGAGGCCTAATTTGAAAAGTTTTAGCAGTGTCTTTACAGTAACACAGTAACCATCAGGTGACTCCACCAAGTGACTCCAGTGTAAACCCACTGATAATTCTCCCTAATAGTTACGTATAAAACATTTTATGAAAAATAAATGTCATCCACGTAAACTGTATTACACTCTTCGAAGGAAGATTCAACTTGTAACCAACCACACATCAACATAAAAAGACAGTATCACAATAACATTTTAAACAACAACCACATTTTCATTTAGACCCCTGTCTCTTGATTGGCCTCCCTTAGTTTCATCCAAAACATGTCAACAAGTTCCCTTTAATGACGACCTTCCTCTATCTGTGTGAATATCTTGTCCAGTCCCTTTTCATGCCTTTAGTCCTTCTTGAGGCTCCTTCAAGTGTCCTATTTGGCCTCTGTTGTCCCTCTTGTGAATCCCTTTGCCCTATTTGGCCAATACTTGTCCTTTTTGTGTTATTTATGACCCCCTTTTCCTATGTGTCATTTCCTTCCATCACATGGACAGGTTTTTACCCTGTATTCTTCTGCTTATTCACTTGTTTTCTTAGTGCTATTTGAGGAATCTACACCTAAATTAATCGATTGCTTCATTGCAATAGATAGATAGATAGATAAAGTATTTTTGTATATAAGATAAGAATAATATAAGTATGTAATTTTAGTACTATTTTTTTTTTTTTGCAGTGCACATGAATTTTACAGCCACAGAAATGTCTCGAAAGCTGGAAAGATGTGACAAACTCATGGAAGAACTTGAAAAACTCAGCAATTTAGTTTTATTTTTGAACCACTCACGCGTGAAGGAGCCTTAAACATTAGTGAAAACAAAAAAAAAAGAAAACCCACCCGGTCTTAGGGTCAGGGTAGAAAGTGAGAAGAGGGGAAAAAATTAAATCTTGGAAACAATTAAATCTTTATTAACAGTCACATGTTAAAAATACGCATCAACATTTGATTTTAAATAGCAAAAACAAAAAAACTAAGCAAACCATTTTATGGGTCAAGCCCAGTGGTTTCCAAACCAGTCACCAAGGCATCCCTACCAGTCCAGAATTGAAAGATTACCCAGTTGTGTTTTTTGTTTTACTAAAAACACGTTAAACACGTCTGGGCAGTTCCTAAATCCTGGACTGGTAAGGGTGTCTTGAGGACGGGTTTTTGAACCACTGAGTTTTTAAATCTGTATTGTTGTTGTTTGTCTTTTTTAACCCCTTAAAGGACCACTATAGGCACCCAGACCTCTTCAGATTAATGAAGTGGTCTGGGTGCCTGGTCCAGCTAGGTTTAACCCTTTTTTCTATAAACATAGCAGTTTACAAATGGGTTAATCCAGCCTCTTGTGGCTGTCTCATTGACAGCCGCTAGAGGGCTTCCGCGCTTCTCACTGTGATTTTCAGCGTCCATAGGAAAGCATTGTAAATGCTTTCGTATGAGACTGGCTGAATGCGCGCGCAGCTCTTGCCGTGCATGCGCATTCAGCCGAGGAGGAGGAGAGGATGCGGAGAGGAGGAGGAGAGCTCCCCGCCCGGCACTGGAGAAAGAGGTAAGTTTAACCCCTTCCACCCCCAGGAGACCTGAGGGTGTGGGAACGAGTATGTTTTCCTGGCACTATAGTGGTCCTTTAAGGACCAAACTTCTGGAATAAAAGGGAATCATGACATGTCACACATGTCATGTGTCCTTAAGAGGTTAAATGACTGTTATTAAAGATTTCATTATTTTCAGGAAATTTCCCCCAATCTGCTCTATACTCTGACCATAAACCATTTTTTAGTGTCTTTCTCTCTTCATATTTATCCCCTACTTAGAGGAATGACAACAACCCCACCTTGATAACGCCCTCTCATTTAGATGAGGGTGGGTGTTTTTTTTTTTATCCTTTCGTATAATGCCCTTACGTTACTATTTCATTTTGATCTTACACACTCGTAAACTTTCAGTAATTTTGCAAGCAGATAATTATTCTAGAAAAATAAACTATAGTCTTTTTTAGACAAAATGGAAAAAGTCTACTGTCATATCTTAAAACAAGTACATCATTTACAAGTTTGTCATGTGTAGCCTCTAATTATAAGGACATAAATATATTTAGTATTATATCAGTATGGATCAGTATGAAATATGTTGCATGTACCAGAAAGACTTATTGTAGCTGATAAAGGCAATAAGTTGTTAGGAATTTAGAATATAGGACAGTAGAATATTATAGATATTGATTGTGGTCACATAATATAGACAATACCTTATTCATTGTTAAAGCTTTTTTTTTAGTGGATACAAAAATTGTTGCAATAAGGGTTAAAATTCAGGAATACTAGATTTGCTGTTCTTAAATTATTACCGAACAGCATGGGATTATTTCATAAAAAACATGTAAAACTAATAAATAATTCAATGCCTGTTAAGTGCTTAAGGAAACCAGGCAAAAAATGTGCAGGAAAAGATGAGCGCAAGCATTGATAAACTTATTTAACCTCTAAATTATAAGCAAAGATTTGTAAATTGTGTCTAATTAAGAAGGAGATGATTAATGTCATATCAAACAGAACGAGATCTATTGACTTTATGTACTCTAAGATGATTTAAGTCCTGCAGCAAATGCTGTGTGTTATTCTATAATAATAATTATTTTTATTTACATAGCGAAAATAAGTCAGAACATACTTCAAAAAAAGACAGCCAGGTGCCAACAGGGATTACCCACAGAGTATCTACTATTTCACAGCAGTTAAAAGATTCGGAATGCAATGTACAACTTGTAACGGACCGTTTTGCACCCAAGCGGTTAAAAACCATTTAGGTGATATTCCCCTTTCTCAGCTGCACAGACAGCTACTGCAAGCACCAATCTCCCGAACTGCAAACCCACAAATTCACCAACTCCTGAACTGCAACCAAGGTAATACTCGAAACTCCCGAACTGCATACCAAGTAGCACTCCAAACTCCAGAATTGGAGACACACGAATAGCTGTTAGCAGACGAACGGGAAAAGCCCCCAAGCAGCTTACACTCCTGGCAATCAGTCTCTAACAGCACACAGCATATCTCCCCAAAGACGAGATGACACTTCGTTTTGAGGGTCAAGCAGAATCTGGTTTACTGGGGCTAACTGCCTGGCTTTTATGCAGGTCTCCCACCTGGTGGACACTCCCCTAGGGGACCAGATGGGAGACTGGGACACAAAGGGTACAAGAACCAATCACAGACTTACACATTTCAACAGTCCCACAATGCATCACAATCCCTCCTCTCTGTCCTGGAGATAATTGGGAAGTAATCCAATTATCTCCAAGGACAGAGGCAAAACTCAATTACACACATTTTCAGTAAAGGACATAAAATTACACACAGTTACATTTATTACATAAAACATAGACATTATACATATCCCCAGATAGGTTAGATCTGAGCGCATATTACTACCGAACGGCGCTCAGATCACATACATATAGTTCAATCGCCATGGAGCCAAAGTCTTTCACATAGTCTTTCGTTACCCGAACAGGCTCCATGGCTTAGCTATCTGGGGTGATGCTGTTCATCCGGTTAAATTACCGAATGAACAGTCATTCGGTTCCGCTACCGAATGGGAAGGTAAGGAGGCTGGCGGCTCAGCGGTGTTCGCGCCAATAAGTGTTCGTTTTCAGTTCCATAGTTTGGGCGCTGAACACCGCTGGCCGTTCGGGAGGTAAAATGGCCGCTGCCACGTGTTCGGCAACCGAACAAAGGCCACCCAGCGTTCATCAATTAAGCTGCGGTTAACCGCAGATTCCGGACGGTCAATTGACGGCACACTCCAGTTCCCAGGTGGTCCATCGTTCGGTTGTTTGTTAAGTAGATGGAATCTACCGAACACCTTGGCAGAAAGGCATGAATAAACCTTTCAGCAGGGAAAATAACAGGTCTGAACTGCAGGGCCATAGTCAAAAGGGAGCAGGCGAGCAACCAGGCTTTTCCAGTGCGTAGTGGCGAGGTTGGTTCCGCCACACAACTTTATTATTATTTGACATATGGACTAACAAGACACCCACACATGTGAAAAAAACTAGAAAAACTTATATAAATGTGAATAGTTTAAGTGTGAGATTGGAAGATTGAGAGGAAGAGCAAGAGAGGGAGACAAAGTGCGGATGAGATACGATGGAATAGTTTAATTTTAGGAGGTGCCATGATGTCGAGATGAGAGGAGAGAGTCGAGTTGTAGAGTGAGGTTGCAGAGTTAGGGCAAGTTAGATTTGAGATGGGTAAAAGGAGAGTTTGGAGTTTGTGGAGAAATGTTGGAGATCAAGGCAGTTGAGGTTTCTGCAAGATTGGATAGTTGAGGGTGATGAAATTTGGGTACGGTGTAATCCGATGTCCAATGTTAGTAGATGGTGGTCAGATAGAGGAAATGGAACAGTGGAGAGATTAGAGGTTGTACAGAGATTGGTGAAGATGAGGTCAAGAGTGTTTCCTGCTGTATGAGTTGATGAAGTAGACAACTGTGTGAGGCCAGAGGAGCAGACAGAAGGCATTAAGGCAGTTGAGGTTGTTAATTGGCATGTCAAAGTCCCCAAGTATGAGGGAGAGAAAGTGGGGTAGCCAGGAAGAAAAGTGTTCAATGAATAGTCTAGGATGACCGGGGTGGGGGCGATAGATGATGGCAATTCTTAAAGGAGTGGGCTTAAAAAGGCGGACAGTGTGACCTTCAAAGGAAGTAAAGTCTACCATAGTCTACCTTGCATGAGGCACTGGTCCAGCTGTACTTGATCTGAGCAATGTTCATCACTAAGGACCAAGCACTTCTTCAAAGCCACCATGACTTTGGCCTCTTTGACACTTTATTTCTATTTATTTCTGGCTCTCATCATACCTTTGCCAGCAATTGTACAGCTCTTCCTTAATTAGCATTACCTCCCTCCTGCTACCTATTTCATGATCTAGAGTACCTGATGTTGCATTTCTGGTTCACCTTCTGTTTTCAGCTCACACTACATCTCTTGACAACTTTATGACTTGTTTTGGTACGCAGGGCACCTTATATGCTGATGTCATTCATATTCCCATTGTATCACTAATTACTTCTACGCTGTCTTGAGCAGGAGAAATAAAGGCTTGTTGAACTGATTTTCTTTAAAACAAATTTTCATTATTTCTTTCTTCCAGTTTTACTGAGCCACCATTACAATTACCTTTTTTTATTATTTACATTATTTTTGACTCTGGCTTGTCCTTCACGTCTCACATGACATTCTCACCTTCAAATCATCACTTTCATCATAAAAATATAGCTTACGCTTTTTCTTTTTTGAAAATCTTTATTCATGCAATCAAGGTAAAATTGTACATTGTAGAAAGCAGAAACAAGTGATAGTCACAATAAACAATAAACAATACGTCGGGTAGGAACAGCCCCAGATAGTGATGATACTTGCCTTAGATAAAAACAACTTTGAAGAAAAAGTCACAGACGTTAATGAGCAAAGAACGAATCTGAAGAGAAGCTAATATAAGCACACAGAAACCAGTTAAGTGGACAATATTGTCTCTGAGGTAGGAGGAGAGGATGCCATCAGGCAGGAGGAAAAGAGGATATACAGTGAAGAAGTAGGGGAAGGAAAGTAGGATACGGGAGAAAGGGAAAGAAAATTAATATTTGTATATCTTGTTGTGTGGTATTTAGTGCATAGTGTAACATTACAGACATTTTCCCTTTTCTAACATCAGTTTAACAAAGCACGTTATCCAGTTGTTTCTTAAAGGGATACTGTAGTCACAAAAAAACCTTTATCTTAATGATGCAGGTTTGGTGTATAGGTCATGTCCCTGCAGTCTCACTGCTCAATTCACTACGATTTAGGACTTAAATCAGTTTTGTTTCTGTTTATGCAGCACTAGTCACACCTCTCCTGGCTGTGACTGACACAGCCTGCATGAAAACAAAATGGTTCTGCTTTCAATCAGATGTTACCTACTTTAAACATTTTTATATCCTGCTCTGTAAATGAAACTTTAATTACAAATAGGGGGCTCCTCCAAGGTCTAGCAAGTTATTAACAGAGCTGGAGATACAAATTTCTAAAGGAAACAGAATTTGCAATAAAGGAAGTGTAGACATTAGATGACTCTTTACAGGAAGTGTTTAGAAAGGCTGTGTAAGTCACATACAGGGAGGTGTGCCTTGGGCTGCATAAACAATGTGATTTAACTCATAAATGACAGAGAATTGAGCAGTGTGACTGCGGGTGCATGATCTATACACCAAAACGTCTTGATTAAGCTAAAGTTGTTTGGGTGACGTGTCCCATTAATTTAATAATTGCAAAACTCTCTTCATCAGTCTCTCCTCCTCCCTCACACATAACAAATGTGGTAGCCAGATAATTTTCCTTATTCGCAGCTTTTCATGAAACTCAGACCACAGTAAGTCCTAAAACTGGCTTATTCTATCCTTTAGATTTACAATTTGTACACGTTTGTTTAGTATGATACAGACTGCTCAGCGCACTCAACAATCTTTCTTGAATTCTGGATGCACTGATTTTAATATCATGTATAATTATATCCCACCTCTTCTACATTATAAAAAAAAAAGTATGTTTTTTTATTAAATATATATAAAAAATTAAAAATTATAGGAAAACTAGTTAAAAAATCAGTATATTGTACCATGGTGATAGTACTTTATTAGGCACCTGCAGGATTCCTGTAAATTGTAAAATAGAAGCATAGGCTGCTGAGAATGATATTAACAAGTGGCATCATTGCTTTTTTGGGCTGTCAAGCTCATCCATATGAACTGTGATTTCCCATAGACGGCCAACTATACCGCATTCTTGGTTTTCAGAACATCTTAGCTCTTTTCATAGATCGATAACAATAACTGAGACACTCACTGATTCCTTGTGCTATTCGCTATAATTCACTCATACTATGTATACAGGACATTATATATATGTTGATTGACAAGCTGCAGCAAATGTTCTATTTATATCCTGTAAATAAACAAACAGTTCATTGGCTCAA